CCCTTCGACCATCATACACCATCTGACAACCATCTGACACATTTCGCCCATCATACACCATCTGTACCATCTTCACCATCTGACAACCCTCCGCTGTATAACCACCCTACACCATCATACACCATCTGAAAACCATGTGACACACTTCGACCATTATACACCATCATACACCATCTGACAACCATCTGACACACTTCAACCATCATACACCACCGTACACCATCTTCACCATCAGACATCAGATGCCTGTATTGCCATTACTCCAATTTTATCAATATTCTTATCCCACAATAGAAACTCGCCAATATGAACTCCAAGTGCTTTTGTTTCTTTGACCTTTTTTAATTGGTGTATCACCAACAAATACATTTGGATCAGCAAGTAAATTATTTATGTTGTACTGTGATCCTATTAGTAGATACTCTGTTTTGACTAGATTAAGAGATAATCTATTTGCAGAAAGCCATTTTTTAACGTTGGTATGGTCATGATTTATATATAGCCACCTCTACATTTTGAATTGACTTGCCAGATACAGTTAGAGTCGTATCGTCGGCAAACATTCTTGTCGACGAGTACTCCAAACTGTTAGGCAGATCATTAATGTAGATTAAGAATAAGAGAGGGCCAAGAATTGAACTTGAGGGATTCCACATGTAACCAACTTCGTGCCCGACAGAGCGCCATTAACGGAGCACATTTGGGTTCTATTCGTTAAATAGGATCCTAAAAGGTTTAATGATTGCTTCTGTAGGCCATAAAGATCAAGTTTCGTTTACAGGATGTCATGATTTATGGTGTCGAACGCCTTTTGTAGGTCCAGAAAAACAGCTATATTAAAAAATATAAAAAAAAAAAAAAAAAAAAAAATATTTGTTAATAGCTGTTTTGTTTGCGCTGGATATTTATTTCACGACCAACGAAGATCATGTAATGATCACTAATGGCAAACGGTATTACTTGTGATGTTATTAACTTAGTTGGAGTGGGAGTAAGACAAACGTCTATTAGGGAGGATGAGGTCGTGGTAACACGGCTGGGTTTGTTTATCGTTTGCGATAATTGATATAATTCCATGATTGAATTTAAATTCTTTGTGGCATGGTTCGAGGTGTCAAGTATGTTAGCATTTAAGTCACCAAGTATGTAAAATTCCTTATTTTCATCATCTATTGTTTTTACTAGTTGCTCAATTGTGGCAAAAGAGTCAACAGAAGCACTTGGAGGTCTGTAAATAGTACCGACAAAAATGGTGCAGTGGAAGGTTTGCGAATCTCAACACATATAGCTTCAAGATTATCTCTAGTCAGATCTTTTCGTTCTAAATAGTTAACGGAAGTTTTCACATATAAACAGACGCCTCCTCCTGTTCTAGAGCGATCGACTCTAATAAAATCGTGCGGATATTTTCTGGCCGGTGTGTGTCTGTTGTCAAAATTATTTGGTTGTGACTTCTTTTCAAATGTGGTCTTTTGAGTTAACGCGAAATCGTCCGTCAAACGGGCCGCTGCAATGAAACTGTCAGGTTTTTGTTCATTTATAATGGTGCGGACTTCGGTGTTAATACAACGTTTGAATTCCTAAATTAAAATCAGTTCTCGCAAATTTTTGTATTCTTTATTGATTTTCTCGGATAAGCACCATCGGTCAAACAACTGTTCTTTTACTTGAGCGAATTGAACGAATGTTTTATGGTTAGTTTTTTCGAAGTTTCGAAATTTTTGGCGGTATACCTCTGGAAGCAACTCGTAGCCATTAAGGATAAGTTTCTTTACCGTATCATAATTCGCTGATAATTCTATCGAAAGTTGCGAAAATATTTCACGAGCTTTACCAACTAAAACACATTGTAACAGCATCATTCAACTGTCTTTAGGCCACTCACAATTTGTGGGAATTGTTTCGAAATGTAAGAAATATTGGTCGACTTCCCGTTCCTGGAAAGGTGGAACCATTCGGACATGTTTGGTAACGTCAAATTTATGACTCGAACTTACTTTATGATTTTGCCCGTTTGCTTGAACTTGTAATTCTAATTTTCTTAATTCTAGTTCCTGTTCCCTTAATTAATTTAAATTCTCTTTCTTTGTCCTCTCTTTCCCACTCGCGCTTCTCTCGTTCTCTGTCGCACACAATTTTCTCATGCTCTCTCTGCCACTGTCTGTCTTTCTCGCTTATTTCACTATCTTCACTAATAGGTGTGTTACGAACAGATGACTATAGATGAAGTACTTATAGTTTCCCGCCATATATCACGGGCGGACACGTTGGGAAAAATAGATTTTATACTTTTATATTCTAACCGAGTTGGCGGTTAAAAATTCAATAAATTTGTCATAAAAATAGAGATTTTGAGTTAAACTAGGCAAGAACCAGCAAATCAGACTACGTTCTCAAGTTGGTGAGAACATTTGGACCTTCGACAGCCGGATTTAATCGGAAAATTTGGCAATTAAAACGAAACACAAGATCGTAAAAATCAAAAAATGGCGGATACTTCTGGGACTTTGAAAAGTATAGAACGACTGAAACGTGAGAAAAGAAATGCAAAGTCAAGGATAACAAGAGAAAGAAACAAATTATAAGAGCTCCTATTAACAACAAAATCAAGTAAGAACACAATTAGACGATATATTAGTAAAATCTAATCGGAATTTCTTATAATAGAAAAATTACTAACAAATTGAAAGAAATGTTTATATCCGAGAGTATACCAGAATCGGAAAGAGAGGTAGAAAAAATAGAAAGAGAAATTGATGAATAGGCAATCAGGTGGATGTCATTATAGAAGCTGCAGAAACGCATTTAAAAGAAAGATTGGAAGGGGGCGAATTTGAATCAATAGCTCCATCAGGCTCAACCCATTCCGAGTATGAAATACAACAATCAGAGATAGAGGCAGCAAACAAAAGAGTCTTAACATTACAAGCAGAGGAAAACCAAAAAGAGGAAGAGCTTAATAGGAAAGCTGCAGAGCTTGATCATGAATTTGCAAAACAAAAAACAGATGAGGCACGTAAGATTGTTTGTATTATTGATGCTAGGTCTCATAATACCACCCCAAAACAGCGCATGACTCGGATGAAACATATTCCCACAGTCAATTACCATAATGGGTACCAGGTCCTAGTAGCCTCCTGAATGAGATGGACCGTAATCAGTTAACACCAAAACAAACCCTGGACCCTAGTGCCCCTCCACCCGAGACACACCCTAGTCACCTCCAAACACAAACCCTAGACTCTTGTACCCCTCCACCTGAGACACACCCTGGTCACCTCCAACCACCACAAACCCCATACCCGAGTGCCACAGCATTTACTTCATCCCAGTCCCCGCAACGACCCATCTCAGATCCTGACCTAAGTGATCATGGTCTTTCATCTCAAGGTCATCCTGCCCAGTTTCCATGGCAAAAAACCTCCAAACCTGTTCTGAATAGATATAACCCTAATACATACCAGCTACATACCCAGTTACGACCACCTGTTCTTGACAGCATGATACATTTGAGACAACCACCACGTATACCTTATACCTGGCAACCATCACCAGCAGCACCAAGTTCAAAAAACCCCGACTTCACACAGGGTGTGCCCATTAAATTAAAAGGTGTGGACTTGCCAACATTTGATAGTGAAGACAAAGTAGAATACGAACAGTGGAAAGCTGCGTTCACATCTGCTGTTGACTATGCAGACATACCAGTTAACGAAAAAATGTTGAGGCTGCAAAACAGTTTGAAAGGAAAAGCAGTTAAATTGGTTAAAGATCTAGGATTTTCCTCTAATGCTTATGAGAGAGCTAAACAAAAATGAGAAAAGAAATATGGATGTCAGAGGAGACTTCAAATTAAGACATTGACCGCATTGAAGAATTGGAAAAAGGTAGAATCCAAAAATATAAGTGACTTGGAAGAATTTTTGACTGTGTTGGACAGGACTTTGGTAACTTTGAAGGACACCTGTGAGAAACAAGGAGATCTTTTCGGTCAGAGTTTGAATCTTATAAGTAAAGAAAAATTACCAGAAGAAGATATACAATGTTATAAGTCATGGCTGATAGAGCACTCGAAAGAGGATACTTTTGAGGCACTTGTTGAGTGGGTAGAGCTAAGAGATCAGATAATGGAAAAAGCTAAAGAGGAAACAAAATGCTTGGGAACTAGTAAAGAGAGAAATGGTGGCCAAAGGATAAACCGCGGAAGAAGAGAAAGAGGTTTCAACACAATGTCTAAAGGCAATCTCAAGTGCGTTGTACAGACATGCAAGAACAACCATCCTCCCTGGACCTGTGATGCCTTTAAAGCATTATCAGTATCAAATCGAAAAGCAATGATAGAGAAATCGAGACGGTGTTACCGATGCTTGGGTGTTGGACACAAAGCAATTGAATGTACTCGAGCAAGACGGCGTGGCGTCGACAGCTATTATAGTACCCAGCACAATAGATTACTTCATACCCCACGTAGACTAGACCAGAACTGTCAAACTGGTTCTCATTTGGTTACCCCACACCAGGCGATGAAAGACTCCAGCCAGCAAACCAAGAGCAGATTACCAGATGATAAGGACAGTGCACAACAATCAGGAGCAGGTGAAAATACGGTTGATACTAGATATTATGTCACTCACCGCACTGACCACATATCGCTAATGGTGTTACCAGCTGTTATCAAGAATGATAAGAAAGAACTGAAGGTTAACGTGATGTTAGACCCTTGTTCCACCGGTTCATATGTGACTGAAGCTGCTGCTGAAGAATTGCAATTGAACGGAGAAACGCATGAGCTGACAATCTCGGGTACTGGTGGATCCCAACTTAAAAACAGTCTAAACAAGTAAACTTGGTTGTCACAAGCTTAAACAGAAACTTTTCAGAGAACTTATCTGCTAATGTCCTGGACAATGTAACTGGAGACACACCCGCCTTCAATTGGGCAGACTTGAAAGCAAAGTGGCCCCATTTGGCTTCCATTTCCTTTGAGCAAACTTCAAGACGAAAGCAGATAGATGTGTTGATAAGTAGCGATCACCCATTGTTTCATCATGTTTTGAAGGAAGTGCACGATAGTAAAACTACAGACACAATAGCAAGACTTACCAATTTAGGTTGGCTTTGCTTTGGACCTACCATCTTTGAGGAACATCGGCGTAAATCGCGTTCATATTTTACGCGTACTTACCGTTCTAGCCAGGTTGAGCAGCCAACCGTTCAGCAACAAGACCACCTGCTCCGACAATTTTGGGAGCTTGAAGCCCTGGGAAACAAGGACACTGACGACAGAACCGTTGACGAGAAAGAAGCAGTAGTCAAGGTAACAGAGAGTACAATTTATGACAAGGGAAGATATTCTGTGGGAATCCCTTGGAAGAAAGAAGAACCAAACTTGAACAATAACTATGATATGGCGTTAATAAGACTTAAGTGTCAGGAGAAATCGCTCAATAGAAAAGGCTCCGAAGCAACGCACACATATAACAAAACAACTGAAGATTACGAGAAGAAGGGTCATGTGAAGAAGATAGAAAAGACCAATGAAATAAACCAATGGTTTTTGCCGCATTTTGCTGTAATCAAGGAAGAAAGAAAAAACTACAAAGACACGAATCGTAATTGATGCTGCAGCAAAAGATCGTAGCAAAAGTTTAAATGACGCAATTCGAGCCGGTCCTAAGCTTCAAAAGGACTTATTGAACGTTCTGATACGATTCACACGCTCCCCAATCGCCTTATTAGGAGGAGATATTTCAGAGATGTTCTTACAAGTAGGCTTGTTGAAAGATGATTGCGCTTATCATCGATTTCTTTGGTGTAATTTAGACGCATCCCGAGAACCTGATGTTTACAACGGCTAGTGTTTGGCAAGACAGCGTCACCATTTTGTGCACAATTCATCGTCCAGCAAAATGCGAAGGATAAAGCACAACACTATCCCGAAGCTGCAGACACGGTTAGCAACTCCATGTACGTAGACGGCGTTCTTGATTCATGCGAGACTTCCAAAGATGCCATATAATTAAGGAGACAACTTTCAGAGTTGTTGAATTCAGCGAGTTTCCAACTTCGAAAGTGGTCATCGAATGACAAGTCAGTACTAGAAGATGTGCTAGAGGAAGATCGACAACCTGGCTTAGAGATACGCGAAGATGGACGCCCAACGGGAAAAGTGAAGACCCTCGGAGTGACATGGAAATCTGAAAACGATATATTCATATTCAACGTCGAAATACCAGAGATCAAACCACGAAGAGAGAAATATTAAGCACAATTTCAACTCTGTTTGATCCTCTTCAATTTCTTTCACCTTTCACAGTGAGAGCCAAAATCCATATGCAGGACATATTGACTGCTGGGCTATATTGTGATGATCCACTACCGAGGACCCTATTAGACCGTTGGCACAACTGGGTGAACGAGTTACAACACCTTTCCTCCTTTGAGATACCACGATGCCTGCGACATCCCTCCCCTGATGAAATAGAATTACATATGTTTTCTGATGCTTCAAAGGATGCCTATGCAGCTTGAGCTTATTTAGTTTGTCGTTATGAAGGAAACAACCAACATCAGTATTGATTGCATCTAAGAGTCGAGTTGCACCAGTTATATCCATGACTATCCCTAGACTTGAGTTGTTGGGAGCGGTTATTTCAACACGTTTGGCAAATACCATACTCAAGTCAATTGTAGTATCCAAAGTGATTTACTGGATAGATTCTACGAACGTTCTATATTGGGTGAATAACCAGAGTCGCAATTTTAAAACCTTCATCGCCAACAGAATCGGGGAAGTCCAAAATTCGACAAACTCAGAACAGTGGAGACATGTCCCGGGAGAACTTAACCCCGCTGATTTGGCAACTCGAGGAATAAAGGTTTCTGAGCTAGCACAGAGCAGAGAATGGAAAGAAAGACCACAGTTTGTTTTAGAAAATGAGACAAATTGGCCTGCACGCGTACCTGGAATGGATACATTATCAAGTGACACGAAAGAAGAGTGTAAAATGGTACGAACAAATGCCACTCAAGTATTGGACAGTAACGAATTGAATCCACAGAACTTTTCAGATTTCAGACGACTTGTTCGTGTAACAGCATGGGTACGGCGTTTTACGAGCAACTGCAAATGTCAACCGGAGCAAAGAGATCTAACAACGGTACCAACTTCGTTTCAGGAGAACGAGAACTGAGAGAACTTGTTGAACAATTAGACCAAGAGAAGATTGTTCGGGACAGTTCTCGATTCGCTCACATTTCAAAAAGTGCCAAGAAAGCTATAAAAGGCATCCTAGGAAATGCGGACGTCTCCGATGAAGAGCTACATACAGCCATTTGTGGAGCTGAGAAGTTATTGAACTCGAGGCCTATCACGTACGTAATTTCGGATTCCAACAACTCATATCCTCTCACTCCCAATCTTTTCATCCACGGACAGCTTGGAGGGGCATTTGCAGTGGAGGCAACTGAGGAAGAAACGTTCAACCCCCGCAAAAGATGGCACCGTGTTCAACAACTAATCGGTCAAGTTTCGAAATGTTGGAGGAAGGAATTGCTACCGACATTAAATCGTAGAAAGAAGTGGTTTCATCCCACACGTAATATGAAGGAAGGAGATATTGTTTTAATGATTGAGCGAAATGCAAATCGCTGTGACTGGCCGTTGGGACGTATTACTGAGACTTTTCCTGGGAACGACGGTTTGGTGCGAGTGGTCAGAGTTAAAGCTAAAGGAAAGGAGTATTTGCGACCGATTCGTAGATTATGCCCACTTGAGTACGTTTAGTAATAAACCCGAGGATATGTAGGAGATTGTACAAAATTACCTGCGAAAGAAACGGACAGTTGTGAAACTAAACTGACGATATAGTTTCATATTAGCAGAGTTAGTTATTCCTAGTTTTGTTAAAGTTTTAAGAATGTTAGACTATCTCGAATGTTACACATTCGGGAGGGGATGTTGCGAACAAATGACTATAGATGAAGTACTTAAGGTTTCCCGCCATCTATCGCGGGCGGACACGTTGGGAAAAATATATTTTATACTTTTATATTCTAACCGAGTTGGTGGTTAACAATTCAATAAATTTGTCATAAAAATAGAGATTTTGAGTTAAACTAGGCAAGAACCAGCAAATCAGACTACGTTCTCATGTTGGTGAGAACATTGTGTATTTTCTACTGTAGTTATACTTTGTTCCATGAAAACAGACTGTTCGAATGTTTATTTCTTTAACAAAATGTTTCTTAATTAAATCGTATACTTTGCGCTTTCTTAAAGTACTTCTTATCTCTAGTCATAAATGCTTGACTAGTGTAACTAGGTCATGCTTATGTAGACTATTAAAATTTTCTATGGTTGATTCCACCATAAATTCGCCTGGGTTAAATTCCGACATGTTTATTTAATTAAGACCAATTAAGGTATCTGGTTTCACACTTAACACTATGACGCGTGCAGAATGAATTCTTTAAATTCCGCTTAATATCTCATCAATGAAACGACTTTCAAATTTTTTTTGAAATGTTACTTTTCTTTTGGAGCATGCAATTGTTTAGACTGGTTTTACTCTTTCCAGCCTGAGCCCCCAACTGTTATGGTGTGCGTGTTATTTATGCGTCAAATATATTTTCCAATTAAGCATGCATATTTTCAACCTTTAAGCCCCGTTTACACGAGCAAATTTTTTTTGACAAATTTAATATGACAAATGCATTTGATCAAAAGCTAGCCTGCTGGCTTTTGTTCAAATGCATTTGTCACAATAAATTTGTTATAAATGTATCATCTACACGAGCGAAATAGCTTTGACAAATGAAATTTGTCAAATAAAATTTGCTCGTGTAAACGGGGCTTTAGGCTTCGGGTTCAAATTATATTAACGCTACCGTAACAAAAATAGCATGAAACCTTATACCTTTTATATGTTTTTATTTACTTTCAACAATATGAATTAGCGTCTCTACAATATTATAATAATATAGTATTCTTAATATACTAACTTCTCTCTCTACTTGTTTGAGCTGAGCACAACTTTGAATCTTTATTCTTCATACTTCGTATTCCGTCTTCTTTAATAATTCCACAATATTCCAATGTTCTTTGTTTACTTGACAAGGCTTAACTATCTAGCCTTTTGATTATATACTTCAGCCTTTGTTGGCTTTTGAAGTATTTTATCCTAAATGGCTCTTCTCAATTCACTCTCCGCTCTCGACTCTCAGGTTGTGCTCAGCTTTTATACTAAATTTTAGAGGAAGAAATCTATAACTATGACTAATTTAATAGTTTTGTTTGTGGAAACCCACGTAAATTTATTACTGCAAAGCTTTTGATCCGTAGGCCCGGATCTTCATCAGTGCTAATAATATGTGACTTGTTTAATTCACACGCTCTTTGAGTAAGTAATTCACACGCTATTTTTAGTATTTATTAGCTTTGCAGTAATAAATTTACTTCGTGTTTCCACAAACAAAACTATTATATTTTATCACCATGCAAACATACAGAGAACTTATTATGACTAATTTCCTCTACGCAATAAGATTGTCAAAGCAAGTTCTATCAGTGTTGATCAACCACAAAACCACGTCCCGTTTTGGTGGTTTGTGGTACTAGGCGTTTCCCGTGGTTCTTTAATCTTTCTAAGTATTTGCTTACTCATGCGAGGAAGGTTACCTAAGGTCTTCCACTGATAATTATAACAGTACTGAATATATAGTATTGAATATATTAAATAAATGGTATAACACTGCCAAGTTACAACAGAATGAATTAATAGTGAATGTAGCTAATGCTTGTTGCGTTTTGCCATGGAACTAGCTTGCTGGTTTCTCGATCTCTCTTTACCATGAATAATATTATTTGTGTATGTCTTTAATCTACAAACTTTGTCTGGAATATTATATGTGGCTATTGGCAAACATTGAGTAACATAATTTAAAAATTAAAGTAAAGTAGAAAGATTCAGATTTGACTTTCACTACCGTTATTAAGTCACCGACAAGTAGCTATAGTGGAAGTAAAATTTAAACCTCTCTATTGACAATACTCAGTATACACAACACAATGTTCATTAAAAGGCGTCGCTGTATCAACGCATTGATATTCAAAGTAAAGATATTTTTTCAATTCAGTACACAGATAACCAGAGAACAACTTGTCATCCACAATTAATTTGCACTCATGTTGACCATCACATTGTTTCTTAACAATACATGTTACATTAGCTTCACAACTATAATCGTCACTCAAACCACATGTCTTTGTGGCAGGCAATCCACGGTACGATGCATTCTTAACGACCATGTACTGATCTTTAGGACAGTTCACGTTCTTTACCATATTTCCATAACACGTCACTGAACCTAGAGCAGAACATAAATTTAGAAATGATGAGCACTAACTGACAATCTCAATAGGGTAACAGATTTTGTTGAGGGGCAATGCGATGTATATAAAACGCGAAACATTCTTATACAGAAATGCAGCATATATCTCACGTATATCGAGTCCTGCTCGTGATCTACTTAATATGGGCTTCGTAATCGCGCCTGGCGCGTGCGCACGCACGCGAAGCGCTCTGGAAAACTCTTTGTTTTTTCTCTTTAACACTCAAGATTGGATACAAATTTGAGTAAAAGTTGTGGACGTTGTCTAACGTGTAATTCTGAGGTTTGCGAACGGTTTTTGTATTTATATTTCACGAAAAAGCTAACAAATTTACGAGGATTTGGTCACTGGATCTGAAATTGTAATTAAAATCGTTTGTTCAGTCATAGGTCTCCCGAAAAGGTCTTTTATTTTTAAAAAAAATCCATACAATTTGCTTTAAAATGCAATGCTTTGACATGCAATGCTTCAATGTACAGTAAAACCTGTAAAATTTGTATTACATGAAGTACGTGCAACATCACAATAGCGTTGTGTCATTATGTAATATATATCCCCAAGGTTGGAAACTAAATACAAATTTAAAACTGTATACAAAAACTTAATGACGAAAAAACTCGTACATAAACATCGAAATTCATTAAAAAAACTAACTCACTATGGTAAGAAATAACTGTAATACTTCTACATTGTGTTTTTTCTTCTCTCATCACTTTTAATAATTAAACGAGTTAATTTTGCGAAAATTCCGTGGATAATTCATCAAATTCGTAACTCAATTTGATCAAAACTATGCGGGATGATGGCTTCCGGCGTTACGTCGCAAAATAAAGCTCTCTGATTCGCTGGGAAATTTCAGCCAGCCAATCGGAGAGTTTTTTTTAAAAATTTTCAGCAAATCAGAGAGCTTTATTTTGTGACGTAACGCCGAAAGTAGTCATCCCACATGGTTTTGACCAGATTGAGCTATTTTCCTCGGAATTTTTGCAAAATTAACTCGTTTAAAAGTGATGAGAGAAGAAAAAAACACAATGTAGAAGAAGTATTACAGTTATTTCTTACCATAGTGAGTTAGTTTTTTTAATGAACTTCTATGTTTATGTGCGAGTTATTCGTCATTAAGTTTGTGTATACAGTTTTAAATTTGTATTTAGTTGCCAACCTTGGGGATATATATTACATAATGACACAACGCTATTGTGATGTTGCACGTACTTCATGTAATACAAATTATAGAGGTTTTACTGTACATTGAAGCAT